GGGTTGCGAACATCATCGGTCATCGGCGCTCGCGAATGAAGAGCGCCCGCTGCACTTCCTGCACATGTGCGGATCCTTCCGCGTTTTGGGGCGGGAAGCGCTCGTTCCGAGCGTTTTTCTTCCGCCTGGTCACGTGGCTGCGCTTGTCTGGGCATATTACCAAGCTAGCAAGGGCGTGGGAGGGTTGCGAGCATCATCGGTCATCAGCGCTCACGAATGAAGAGCGCCCGATGCACTTCCTGCACATGTGCGGATCCTTCCGCGTTTTGGGGCTGGAAGCGCTCGTTCTGAGCGTTTTTCTTCCGCCTGGTCACGTGGCTGCACTTGTCTGGGCCTATTACCAAGCCAGCAAGGGCGTGGGAGGGATGCGAGCATCATCGGTCATCGGCGCTCGCGAATGAAGAGCGCCCGCTGCATTTCCTGCACATGTGCGGATCCTTCCGCGTTTTGGGGCTGGAAGCGCTCGTTCCGAGCGTTTTTCTTCCGCCGGGTCACGTGGTTGCGCTTTTCTGGGCCTATTACCAAGCCAGCAAGGGCGTAGGAGGGTTGCGAGCATCATCGGTCATCGGCGCTCGCGAATGAAGAGCGCCCGCTGCAGTTGCTACACATGTACGGATCCTTCCGCGTTTTGGGGCTGGAAGCGCTCGTTCCGAGCGTTTTTCTTCCGCCTGATCACATGGCTGCGCTTTTCTGGGTCTATTATCAAGCCAGCAAGGGCGTGGAAGAGTTGCGAGCATCATCGGTCATCGGCGCTCGCGAATGAAGAGCGCCCGCTGCACTTCCTGCACAAGTGCGGATCCTTCCGCGTTTTGGGGGTGGAAGCGCTCGTTCCGAGCGCTTTTCTTCCGCCGGGTCAGGTTGCTGCGCTTGTCTGGGCCTATTACCAAGCCAGCAAGGGCGTGGAAGGGTTGCGAGCATCATCGGTCATCGGCACTCGCGGATGAAGAGCGCCCGCTGCATTTCCTGCACATGTGCGGATCCTTCCGCGTTTTGGGGCGGGAAGCGCTCGTTACGAGCGTTTTTCTTCCGCCTGGTCACGTGGCTGCGCTTGTCTGGGCCTATTACCAAGCCAGCATGGGCGTGGGAGGTTTGCGAGCATCATCGGTCATCGGCGCTCGCGAATGAAGAGCGCCCGCTGCACTTCCTGCACATGTGCGGATCCTTCCGCGTTTTGGGGCTGGAAGCGCTCGTTCCGAGCGTTTGTCTTCCGCCTGGTCACGTGGCTGCGCTTGTCTGGGCCTATTACCAAGCCAGCAAGGGCGTGGGAGGGTTGCGAGCATCATCGGTCATCGGCGCTTGCGAATGAAGAGCGCCCGCTGCACTTCCTGCACATGTGCGGATCCTTCCGCGTTTTGGGGCTGGAAGCGCTCGTTCCGAGCGTTTTTCTTCCGCCTGGTCACGTGGTTGCGCTTGTCTGTGCCTATTCCCAAGCCAGCAAGGGCGTGGGAGGGTTGCGAGCATCATCGGTCATCGGCGCTCGCGAATGAAGAGCGCCCGCTGCACTTCCTGCACAAGTGCGGATCCTTCCGCGTTTTGGGGGTGGAAGCGCTCGTTCCGAGCGCTTTTCTTCCGCCGGGTCAGGTGGCTGCGCTTGTCTGGGCCTATTACCAAGCCAGCAAGGGCGTGGAAGGGTTGCGAGCATCATCGGTCATCGGCGCTCGCGAATGAAGAGCGCCCGCTGCACTTCCTGCACATGTGCGGATCCTTCCGAGTTTTGGGGCTGGCAGCGCTCGTTCCGAGCGTTTTTCTTCCGCCGGGTCACGTGGCTGCGCTTGTCTGGGCATATTACCAAGCCAGCAAGGGCGTGGGAGGGTTGCGAGCATCATCGGTCATCGGCGCTCGCGAATGAAGAGTGCCGCTTCACTTCCTGCACATGTGCGGATCCTTCCGCAATTTGGGGCTGGAAGCGCTCGTTTCGAGCGTTTTTCTTTCGCCTGGTCACGTGGCTGCGCTTGTCTGGGCCTATCACCAAGCCAGCAAGGGCGTGGGAGGGTTGCGAGCATCATCGGTCATCGGCGCTCGCGAATGAAGAGCGCCCGCTGCACTTCCTGCACATGTGCGCATCCTTCCGCGTTTTGGGGCTGAAAGCGCTCGTTCCGAGCGTTTTTCTTCCGCCGGGTCACGTGGTTGCGCTTGTCTGGGCCTATTACCAAGCCAGCAAGGGCGTGGGAGGGTTGCGAGCATCATCGGTCATCGGCGCTCGCGAATGAAGAGCGCCCGCTGCAGTTGCTACACATGTACGGATCCTTCCGCGTTTTGGGGCTGGAAGCGCTCGTTCCGAGCGTTTTTCTTCCGCCGGGTCACGTGGCTGCGCTTTTCTGGGTCTATTATCAAGCCAGCAAGGGCGTGGAAGAGTTGCGAGCATCATCGGTCATCGGCGCTCGCGAATGAAGAGCGCCCGCTGCACTTCCTGCACAAGTGCGGATCCTTCCGCGTTTTGGGGGTGGAAGCGCTCGTTCCGAGCGCTTTTCTTCCGCCGGGTCAGGTGGCTGCGCTTGTCTGGGCCTATTACCAAGCCAGCAAGGGCGTGGAAGGGTTGCGAGCATCATCGGTCATCGGCGCTCGCGAATGAAGAGCGCCCGCTGCACTTCCTGCACATGTGCGGATCCTTCCGAGTTTTGGGGCTGGCAGCGCTCGTTCCGAGCGTTTTTCTTCCGTCGGGTCACGTGGCTGCGCTTGTCTGGGCCTATTACCAAGCCAGCAAGGGCGTGGAAGGGTTGCGAGCATCATCGGTCATCGGCGCTCGCGAATGAGGAGCGCCCGCTGCACTTCCTGCACATGTGCGGATCCTTCCGCGTTTTGTTGGTGGAAGCGCTCGTTCCGAGCGTTTTTTCTTCTGCCGGGTCACGTGGTTGCGCTTGTCTGGCCTATTGCCAAGCCAGCAAGGGTGTGGGAGGGTTGCGAGCATCATCGGTCATCGGCGCTCGCGAATGAAGAGCGCCCGCTGCACTGCCTGCACATGTGCGGCTCCTTCCGCGCTTTGGGGGTGGAGGCGTTCGTTTCTAGCGTTGTTCTTCCGCCGCGTCACGTGGCTGTGCTTGTCTGGTCCTATTACCAAGCCAGCAAGGGCGTGGGAGGGTTGCGAGCATCATCGGTCATCGGCGCTCGCGAATGAGGAGCGCCCGCTGCACTTCCTGCACATGTGCCCATCCTTCCGCATTTTGGGGCTGGAAGCGCTCCTTTCGAGCGTTTTTCTTGCGCCGGGTCACGTGGCTGCGCTTGCTGTGCATATTACCAAGCCAGCAAGGGAGTGGGAGGGTTGCGAGCATCATCGGTCATCGGCGCTCGCGAATGAGGAGCGCCCGCTGCACTTCCTGCACATGTGCCCATCCTTCCGCGTTTTGGGGCTGGAAGCGCTCATTTCGAGCGTTTTTCTTGCGCCGGGTCACGTGGCTGCGCTTGCTGTGCATATTACCAAGCCAGCAAGGGAGTGGGACGGTTATGAGCATCATCGGTCATCGGCGCTCGCGAATCAAGAGCGCCCGCTACACTTCTTGCACATGTGCGGATCCTTCCGCGTTTTGGGGCTGGAAACGCTCGTTCCGAGCGTTTTTTCTTCCACCGGGTCACGTGGCTGCGCTTGTCTTGGCCTATTACCAAGCCAGCAAGGGCGTGGGAGGGTTGCGAGCATCATCGGTCATCGGCGCTCGCGAATGAAGAGCGCCCGCTGCACTTCCTGCATATGTGCGGATCCTTCCGCGTTTTGGGGGTGAAAGCGCTCGTTCCGAGCGTTTTTCTTCCGCCGGGTCAAGTGGCTGCGCTTGTCTGGGCCTATTACCAAGCCAGCAAGGGCGTAGGAGGGCTGCGAGCATCATCGGTCATCGGCGCTCGCGAATGAAGAGCGCCCGCTGCACTTCCTGCACATGTGCGGATACTTCTGCGTTTTAGGGGTAGAAGCGCTCGTTCCGAGCGTTTTTCTTCCACCGGGTCACGTGGCTGCGCTTGTCTGGGCTTATTACCAAGCCAGCAAGAGCGTGGGAAGGTTGCGAGCATCATCGGTCATCGGCGCTCGCGAATGAAGAGCGCCCGCTGCACTTCCTGCACATATGCGGATCCTTCCCCTACGCGAGGGCGCGTGAGTGCGAGGGCACGAGAGCACGAGGGCGAGTGAGCGCGAGAGCTCGAGAGCGCGTGAGCGCATGAGTGCGTGGCGCGTGAGCGCGTGGGCGAGTGAGTGCGTGGGCGCGTGAGCGCGAGGGCGCGTGAGCGCGAGGGCGCGTGAGCGCGAGGGCGCGTGAGCGCAAGGGTGCGAGAGCATGTTTCCCATCCCCCATCCCCGATCTCCCGTTTCCCATCCCCTATCCCCGATCTCCCGTTTCCCATCCCCCATCCCCGATCTCCCGTTTCCCATCCCCCATCCCCGATCTCCCATTCTCCATCCCCGATCCCTGATCTCCCGTTTCCCATCCCCCATCCCCGATCTCCCATTTCCCATACCCCATCCTCGTTTCCCATCCCCCATCCCCGATCTCCCGTTTCCCATCCCCCATCCCCGATCTCCAGTTTCCCATCCCCCATCCTCGATCTCCCGTTTCCCATCCCCCAATCCCGATCTCCTGTTTCCAATCCCCCATCCCTGATCTGCCATTTCCCACCCCCCATCCCCTTCCCGGTCTCCCATTTCCCATCCCCCATCCCATGCCCGGTCTAACATTTCCCATCCCCCATGCCCGGTCTCTCGTTTCCAATCCACCATGCCCGATCTCCCGTTTCCATCCCTCATCCGCGATCTCCCATTTCCCATCCCTCATCCCCGATCTCCCCTTTCCCATCCTCCATCCGCGATCTCCCGTTTCCCATCCCCCATCCGCGATCTCCCGTTTCCCATCCCTCATCCGCGATCTCTTGTTTCCCATCCCCCACCGGCGATCTCCCGTTTCCCATCCCCCATCCGCGATCTCCCGTTTCCCATCCCCCATCCTGGTCTCCCGTTTCCCATCCCCCATCCCTAATCTCCCGTTTCCCATCCCCCATCCCCGAACTCCCGTTTCCAAACCCCGATGCATGATCTCCCGTTTCCCATCCCTCATCCGCGACCTCTCGTTTCCCATCCCCCATCCCTGATTTCCCGTTTCCCATCCACATTCCCGATCTCCCGTTTCTCATCCCCATCGCCGATCTCCCATTTCTCATCACGCATCCCCGGTCTCCCGTTTCCCATCCCCCATGCCCGATCTCCTGTTTCCCATCCCCCATCCCCGATCTCCCGTTTCCCATCCCCCATGCCCGATCTCCCGTTTCCCATCCCCCATGCCCGATCTCCCGTTTCCCATCCCCCATGCCCGATCTCCCGTTTCCCATCCCCTATCCGCGATCTCCCGTTTCCCATCCCCCATCCCCGAACTCCCGCTTCCCATCCCCCATCCTCGATCTCCCGTTTCCCACCCCCCATCCGTGATGTCCCGTTTCCCATCCCCTATCTCCGATCTCCTGTTTTCCATCCCCCATCCCCGATCTCCCGTTTCCCATCCCCCATCCCCGGTCTCCCGCTTCCCATCTCCCATCCCTGTTCTCCCGTTTCCCATCCCCCCTCCCTGATCTCCCGTTTCCCATCCCCCATCCTCGATCTCCCGTTTCCCATCCCCCATCCCCGATCTCCCGTTTCCCATCCCCCATCCCCGATCTCCTGTTTCCCATCCACCATCCCAATCTCCCATTTCCCATCCCGCATCCCCGATCTCTCGTTTCCCATCCCCCATCCCCCGTCTCCCTTTTCCCATCCCCCATCCCCGCTCAAGCGCCCCGGTCATGTACGTCAGTTGTACTCGTACATGTCGATGCTCTATCATACCATCGGCCGTATTAATCCACGATGCGGGGATGGTCGGACATGTTTATGGCTTCAACATGGAACGTTCGAAATTGGTTAAACGTTTTGAGAGACGTCATTTAAAAGTGGTTTTTTAGTCCTTTTCTTGTTTTTCTTTTTGCATTCGCTTGAAACGTGTGCTCCAAAAAATGCATTAAAACACTCCTGAATAATATCCTCCAAATGCGAAACCAGTTGTATAGGGCAGCGCAATTTAATAATATGATATAAGGGTGAGACCAAATCTGTAAGGTTGCTAAGCAACCAAATAAAGTTTTATATGATTAGAAGCTGCTACTGTAAGTATATATCTTGCGAGTGTATTCTTGGAACAGACGTTTAGGGCTTCGTTGAAGCTCCCAGCAAGCAGCCGCCCACCTGTGTATGCTTCGCCCTCGATCATCGTAGTTGCCCTCCCTCGATATCAGCTACTCAGGCTTCCTTTCTCGCTCTTTTGCTCACCTGAACCTACTCTCAACGCTCGAATCTTCGCAACGGGTTAGTCTCCTTGCACCCTTCACCAAGACGTAGTGCACCAGTATTGTTCAATATGGAACGCTGGCTGAAGTGTCGCGGTCTTATAGATCCTGTAGTGTCTTTCTCTTCTCCATGTGTTTTCTCGCTTTGAAAGATTTTGAAACGGAAATGTCTTTCTTCTGCAATTGTCGCCCCACTTGCTATTTTTGTTGCTTGGATCTGGCAGGTGAGGACTCGAGGACGTCATTGACAGAGTAAGCGTCCTCTGCCTTGGCGCTCTGCATACGTCGTTCATGCTCGTTCAGTCTGCGTTGTTTTCCCCTGTTGCGGTCGTTCTCCTGAATTAAGTCGATGCCGTTTCTCCCGCTTTCGCGTGCTCACAACGTCTCTGTTTCATACACCACGCGCGGCTGCTTGCAGGGAGGCAGTCGTTTAACATCTGCCGAGGACAATGTCGGACGGGTACGTTCGCTGTCGCCTCTTCTTATCTCTATCTTCACTCCTTTCACTCATGTGTGCACGTACCTGTCGCCTCACCGCTCTTCGCTATCGTATCTCTCCACACCCGTAACCAACTTTCCCCTCCCTCTCCCCCACCTCCCCCCTCCGCCGTGCCCCCGCAGAGATGAGCCCGTGGCGATCGAGGCGGAGGCCCCCGCCGTGGAGGCGGCCGTTGAGGCCCCCGCCGAGGCGATGGACACGATGACGGCGCTGCAGCGCGTGCTGAAGAAGGCGCTGGCGCACGACGGGCTGGCGCGCGGGCTGCACGAGTCCGCCAAGGCGCTGGAGAAGAGCAGCGCGCAGCTGTGCGTGCTGGCGCAGGACTGCGACCAGGAGGACTACAAGAAGCTCGTCCAGGCGCTCTGCCACGAGCACAACATCAACCTCATCCAGGTGCGCCCTGCCACGAGCACAACATCAACCTCATCCAGGTGCTGCGCCTGCCACGAGCACAACATCAACCTCATCCAGGTGCGCCCTGCCACGAGCACAACCTCATCCAGGTGGGTCCCCGTGCCGCGTACAACATCCAATTTCTCGCCGCTGCTGCAGCAGCTCCAATCACCGGAGAGGGCTTCTCCGTCGTGCGTTGTCAGGTGGCTAGCTATCGGCGGGCTTTGGCTCAAGGTCAAGAGGGCGAGGTGAAGGGGCAAGGTAGTGGCAGGGTTTAGGCTTCCCGCCACGGACTGCTCATTCCAGCGAAGCTTTGTTTTTTAGTAGCAAGGGGGGTCTGCGGCCGCAGACGGGTTAGCAAATAGTCAGCATACAGTCAGAACACGGCCAGCAGTTAGTCAGCAGATAGTCAGAACACGGCCAGCACTTAGTCAGCAGATAGTCAGAACACGGCCAGCAGTTAGTCAGCAGATAGTCAGAACACGGCCAGCACTTAGTCAGCAGATAGTCAGAACACGGCCAGCACTTAGTCAGCAGATAGTCAGAACACGGTCAGCACTTAGTCAGCAGAAAGTCAGAACACGGCCAGCACTTAGTCAGCAGATAGTCAGAACACGGCCAGCACTTAGTCAGCAGATAGTCAGAACACGGCCAGCACTTAGTCAGCAGATAGTCAGAACACGGCCAGCACTTAGTCAGCAGATAGTCAGAACACGGCCAGCAGTTAGTCAAAACACGGTCAGCAGTTAGTCAGTAGACAGTCATCAGCCGGTTAGCAGGCGGTTAGCAGACAGTGAGCTCTGCGTCGGATCTGCGGTGCACTCTAGCTTAGGGGCACCGCGCTGGGGACAGGCTAGCAGGTGCGGGCTGACTGCTGCCATTGCCGCCTCGTGGTTCACGCAGTCTGCCGATTGCGCAGTTGCAGTGGCCCCTCTGCTCCACCATGGCTGGTCGTGTAAAGCGGTCTCGTGAGGCGGGGTGCTGAGTGTGCGGCGGTGCGTGGTTGTGCTTGGGTGCGTGGCAGGTGCCGAGGCGCCAAGACGCTGGGCGAGTGGGCGGGGCTGTGCAAGCTGGACTCGGAGGGGAAAGGCGCGCAAGGTCGTCGGCTGCGCCTGCGTCGTCGTCAAGGTCAGCAAGGGGGGCCGAGGGGAAGACGGGGGAGAGGGGGGCTGTTACCTTTCCGGAATGGCTGCTGCGCATGGGGGTTTGTGGTGCGCATGGGGTTTGTGGTGCGCATGGGGGTTTGTGGTGCGCATGGGGTTTGTGGTGCGCATGGGGGTTTTGGTGTGCGTTGGGGCTTATAGTGTGCGTGGAAGAATGCTGGTTGGTTATGGGCATAACGTGTCGCACATACGACCGTTTAGATCTGCTGTATGTCATTATAGGTTCGGTGGGCAATGGCGTAGCTGAGTGTCCATGAGGTAATTTCTTGGTGAAGCGAGGGTACCCACTATCCAGAGCTTGCTTGTGCGACAGGATCTGAAAATGTCTGTGGTTGTGTGTGTGCGCGTGTGCGTGTGTGGCAGGACTATGGCGAGGAGACGGAGGCACTGAACGTGCTCAATGAGTACCTCAAGTCCAAGTAGGCCGCTGCTGCTCGCATGGCCATGCTGAGAGGCAGATGCACCTTGTGGCGCTGTAGAGTTGCTGTGCTGCCTCTAGTGAAGCTTCTCAGCTGCTCATGAACCACTGCCCAGTTGTTTTTGGTTGCCTGTGCCCTGTCATGTAAATTTCATTAACTCACCAGCGAGCAAGCCATTGAAAGGAGGACTACCTTCGCTACATTGGCCCTAATTTGCAATGGAATGACAGGAGGTTTACGCTAGCATTCAGCATGATTTTGAAAGTACATGGGCATGTACATATTGTGTAACACCCACACTATCCTACTCTTTATACACGCTATTAAAAATGGTATTTTGTGTTGATCCTAGCCTAATCCTTGTCAACTATTGTGGCCTCCACGTCCACCACTCTGTCTGTCCCCGTCGCCCTCCATCCCTGCTTGTCTTGAGATTGCGACCCTGTGGCACGGCGCACATTAAGATTAGCAACCAAACCATGGCAGGTGGAGTGGACAAGGCACAACCCCCAAGGTGACACCGTGAATGCACAATGTAATGTGCCAGCCTTACTTGATTGGGAATTGAAGCCACGGCTGCTGGCGTCCGCTTGCTGAAACCGGCCATCTTCATCTGAGAACAACAGAAAGGTGGAGTTAGCACATGGCATGGGGCAACTTGAAGAGGCAAAGATGGGAGAGAAAGCACACGACTGCTGCGGAGCAAGCATGTTTGATCCCAAGCCAGCAAGTGGTGGGAGAGGTCAGTGAGCAGACGGAAGGGCATGAGAGGCGGGAGAGAGGAGAGGGTGGGGATGGAGGGACTGACACTTCATGGAGCGCAAGCAGGACGGGCACACTGGTGCTCCATGCGCCACCGCATTCCTGCTCATGTGAGGGCACCCGATGCCGTGCAGCAACGCACACAATCACACACACACACGCGCGCATGCGCACACACACACACACACACACACACACACACACACACATGAACAGTGCGGACGCGAGTGAGGGGCGCTGATTTAAACCAGCGCCATGGCAGGAGGGGGATCTGGGGAAAGAGGTGGGCGCAGGCAGTTACTAATGAAGGTTGACTCGTGTGTTTAGTCAACTAGTGAGTGTGCAGGAGGTGCTGCTATGTAGCGCTCTCCCTGACCACCTCCCATTGCGCTGTGCCCCCGCACCCCTTTTGAGCCTGCTCGCAGCAGTGAGGGCGTGGGGCGTGCCCCGTGGGCTCACCTGTCGAACGTGAACTGGTGGTCGCACCACGGGCACTGCTCACACGGGTGGGGGGGCACCGCACGCGCAATGGGGTGGGAGGCGGTGAGAGGTCACGCGAATTCGCATGCGAATTTCGACCAAAACGTTTGAAAAACGAAGAACTTTATTTCTGGAAGATCCGAAACATTATTATGGTGTAGCACGTTTTGCAAAGCTTCAAAGGAAAACGAAGCTCCCAAGGAACCAAGCGGGAAGCGGGACGGGAAGGGAAAACGGGGGAGAAGGGGAAGCATGAGGAGACGAGGAAGTGGGAGGGAAGGAGAAGAGGGAGGGGAGGAAAGCGGGAGGGGAGGCGAGGGGGGGAAGGGAGGCGAGGGGGGTACATTGGCGACGGCGAGCGAGGAGGTGAGCTTGCCGACGATCCACGTGGCCGTGGTGAGCGCCACGTCCAACAGGTAGAACACGAACTGCCACGCAAGCACAGACAGGCACGGGGGGGGGGGAACGGGGGGTGGGGGGTTGATGAGGGGGGGGATGGGGAAGGACAAGGACCGTTTCGGAGAAGGAGGGGAGGGAGGCGGAGGGAGTGAGGTTGCAGCGGAGGGGCGGACGAGGGGCGAAACAAGAAAGCGACTGAAGGGACGCATGCGACCGATGCGAGAGACGGAGACATGCGAGAGTGAGAGCCCAACGCTGCAGCGCCGCTTCGTCCGGCGCGCGGCGCGACGCACCCAGAGCTGCGCGACGCCCTCGAGCGCGCCGTCGCCCAGCCACCCCAGATGGCCCTCCGTCGCGAACTTGAGCCATGTCACCGCCGCCAGTACGGCGGCCGCCAATCAGCAGCCGCTGCGCGTCGCCCACTCCCGCCGAGCGCCCCCTTCCCCGCGCCCATCCCCATCCACGCCGGACCTGCTCCCCCCGATGCTGATCTGCCCGCATCCCGCCTGCCCCTCTCCTCCCCTCCTCCCCCTGCCACATGCCCCCTCAGCGCGCGCTTGCGCGTGACTGCGGTCATCCCGCGCGCGCGAGGATCGCCGGCCGAAGCCGTTGAAGGAGGCCCGACAGCTGCGGGGATGGGAGCGCGGGCGGGGGGAGGTTCAGGGCTTAGCGACGGCAGCACGTGGTCGGGCACGGGGGAGGTGACACGGGGAGCGAGGGTGGGCGGAGTGGGAGGAGGTGGGTATGGAAACAAGGCGACGGCGGCGACGAGACCGCCAATGTGGCCCGTGCGTGGGGGAGACGACGGGTGAGAGTGACACTTGGCACGGGGAGCAAGCAACGAGAGCGAGCAACGCACCTTATCGACTCGCGCGCTCTGGGGGCCGATAGGCCCGAGCGACCAGCGGAGTGAAGGAGCGGGAGCCGGGGGAGGAGGCCGCTTGGCGGCAGACGCGGATCACCTGCGCACCGCCGTTGCCCTCCCCGCGGAAGCAGCGGCAAGCGAGCGCCATGCGAGCCGCGAACGAGCACGTCCATCCGCAAGCTGCCGGCGGCGAGTCTGGAGGACGTCATGCGCGATGCGACGAGGGGCGAGGCGGGTGAGAGGCGAAGTGAAGAAGCGTTGGTGAGGCGAGAGGAATGAGGTGAGGAGGT